TTCGATGCGTAACGTTCTTTCAAGACAAAGTTACAGTGTGTGTACCTTTGCGTTTGGTTGCTGGTAAGGAGGACGAGCTAGCGCTGTGATCTAGAATGCAAAGCTCGCTTGTTTCCAATCCCGAGAGTTGTCCATCCTCGCCTGAAACACACGATTAGTGCCATGAGTTAGTGAAGCAAATTACAGAAACACTGCACAGTTATTCACAAGTCAAAACGTTTTCAGAGCGGCCGAGAATATCTAGCTAGCTAGATGTAGCTAGCTCGGAGCCTAGCATGGCTAGCTTGATCTACTGAGCAAATAAAAGTACATCTGAGACCATTATTGTGCAGATTAAAACCCCAGTGCATGTAGTTGATTTTACCTTCGTCGTGGTTTGATTGATTGATTGATTGAAAAGTTTATTAACAGCTTGTATATTGGGTACAGTACAGTACACCTCAAAACATACAATTGTTAAGGGGATGCAGACCAGAGAAAGACTTTCGTCTTGTTTACATCAGGGTCCCCCATTTCCAATTCATCATATCATTTAAGACATATAAGACATATTTGACATACAGATGGCTTATTTACAATCTACATACAGGTGGTTTTTTACATACAGATGGCTTATTTACAATTTTCATTTTAGATTTCGTTCTAATACATCCTAACCGGACATTTAAGACATACCAAGTCTACAGATATACAGTTAGTAACAGAGTCTAAAATGCGAGTATATACATAGATGGGGGGGGGAAGCTGTCCATTGTACGACAGGTTGAGATTTGTACCATTACCGGGGCCAGTTTTGCAATGCTTTTCCCCGAAGGTGCTCTTTAAGAGAGGTTTTGAAGGTAAGTATAGTTTTACTTTCCTTTACAGTTGTGGGAAGAGCGTTCCACCTTGATGTGGCATAATTGCGAAACGTGTATTCCCCTTTTTTTGTGCCAAATCTGGGTTTTACATGATTTGTGGAGCTCCCTCTGGTGTTATGATCATGGTATTCCTTGACCTTTGGGAAGAATTTTGACATGTACATGGGTACCATAGAGGTGTAGTGGATCTTGTAGACCAGGCCCATTGCAAGTAGCTGTACTCTGTCGTCTACTCTAAGCCATCCTAGGTTGTCAAAGTGGGCAGAGGTGAGGTGGGTTCTAGATGAAAGGTCAAGCAGTAGTCTGACCAGTTTATTTTGCGATGTTTGAAGTTTTATTTTTAGCGCCTTGGAGGTGCTATGGTACCATGACGTGCAAGCATAGTCATAGTACCCTTGAATGAGTGCTCCTGCCAGAGTTTTCAGGGTGTTTTTGTTTACCAGAGAGGAGATCCGGTATAGGAATCTAGTTCTTTGATTGACTTTTTTTATTACATTGGATGCCATTTTGTCACAGGAGAGGTTTGCCTCAAGAATAGATCCTAGGTATGTAATTTCCTTCTTACTTGTGACAATAATGTCACCCACTGCAACTGAGAAGTCGTCGGATTTGCTGAGATTATGTTTCGAACCGAAGAGAATGGACTCTGTTTTACCCAGGTGTAATGATAATTTATTATCGGCGAGCCAGGTGCAGATTCTGCCGAGCTCGGAGCTGAGGGTTTTTTCAACCTGCAATCTGCTCCTGTCAGAGACCAGCAGGGCTGAGTCGTCCGCGAACAGGAACAAGTTGCAGTCACATGCTGATGACATGTCATTTGCATAAATTAGGAACAGTAACGGACCTAATATGCTTCCTTGTGGAACACCACAGCTCACTGGGAGGGGGGGGGACAGAGTACCGTTTACCTCCACCATCTGTTCTCTCCCCTCCAGGTAGGATTGCATCCAGCTCACCGATAGTTTATCAAAACCAATTGCTTTTAGCTTGTCAATCAGAATGGGGTGATTGACAGTGTCGAAAGCCTTTTGTAGGTCCAGCATCACCATGCCGCAGTATTTACCCTCGTCCACCTCTTGTTTGATGTGGTCGTTCAAATAAAGAAGGCATGTGTCAGTGGAGTGGGATGTTCTAAAGCCAGATTGAAATTCATAGATTAGTTTATTTTCTGCGAGGTACTTTTCGACCTGTTCATATACTATTTTTTCCATGACTTTCGAGATGGAGGTAAGTATAGAAACAGGGCGGTAGTTGCCTGGGTCCAATTTGCTGCCCTTTTTGTGCAGGGGGGTTACTCTTGCAATTTTGAAGTCTTTGGGTACTTTTCCCTGTGTTATGGAGAGGTTAATTATGTGAGCTATGACTGGTGAGATGGCGGTTGCTGTGTCTCTGAGGAATTTGGAGGGGATATTGTCGTGGCCAGTGGCCTTGTTAGGTTTGAGGGCGCTCAGTTTAATGAGTACCTCTGCTGTTGTTACCCTTGCTAGACTGAAATCATCTTTGCGTACCCCTAGGTTTTTGTAGTAGGTCATGATGTGATCTACTCCAAAAAGCCCTGAGTGGGAGGGTAATTTATTTACAAGAGTTGTGGCTATGTTTGTGAAAAAAATGTTCAAGTACTTGGCCACATCCAGTTTGTCTGTGATGAGCCTGTTATCTGTCTTTATGTTTACGTTTGAAAATCTCGTTTTGAGTTTTTTACTGCAGCCAAGCTGGTTATTGAGTAATTTCCAAAGTTCACGGGGTTTATTTTTGTTTTCCTCAGTTTTGTCATTGATGAAATTCTTTTTGGCAGTTTTGATCATGGAGCTTACGTCATTTCTTAGTCTGTTTCTTTCAATTTTTAGTTCAGTCACGTGGGCCTGGAGTTCACTGCTCGTGCTTTTGGAAAGCATTGACTGACTTTTATGAAACTCAGAGCATTTTTTGTCTCTGGTTTTCATGGCGGTCAGTATGCCGGAGTGCATCCACGGCTCAGCGCGATTTTTTACCCTGGTTGTTCTTAGGGGGGCCAAATCATTGAGTATTGCAGAGAATTTGTTTTTGAAACCAAGCCATGTTTCTTCAACTTGTGTACCACTGAGCTCATCTGACCAGTCCAGGCTCTCCAGTTCTAGGTTAAAGGCCTCGCTAGAGTAGTTTTTGAGGTCTCTAGATATGACTGTTTTGTGACAGCCGGCCTTTTGTTTTTGCTTTTTGCGGGTACAGAATATCATATAATGATCACTTAAACCGCATGCTATAACCCCTTTACTGGAGATCCTGGACCTGTCAGAGGTCAGAATGAGATCAATGGTAGTTTGTGTTGTTTCACATACCCGGGTGGGTTGGGTGATTAGCTGGCTGAAGCCGTGCAGATCACAAATCCTACTGAAGGACTTGAAGACGGACGTGTCTTTACGTTGCATATCCGTGTTCCAGTCTCCAATAATAATTGTCTCTACATCCCCCACATCAGCCAAACACCCATCTAATGTATCATAAAAGTCACTCTGTTCCGGTGGTCTATAGATTGTCCCGACTATTACAGATTTAGCATTGTCAAAAAGAATTTCAACCCACACAGATTCAATATTTTCATGATGCAGGTCAGTACGGTTTTTGAAATTGGTGTCTTTATGTATGTACATGCAGACACCACCTCCATTCACGTTCCTGTCCCTTCTCACTACAAGATAATCTTCAATTTCAATCTCTGAATCTGTAATGGAATTGTCCAATTTGGTCTCAGAAAAGCATAATATGCTTGCCTTACCGTTCATGAACAGTTGCCTGAGTTCAGCCAGTTTGTGTCTCAGGCTGTTAGTGTTCAGATGAAAAATATGTAGTCCATTTTTGTTGTTTAAATGCATAATGTCGTCAGCTTGAAGATATTTGTCTTTGTCCGTTACAGCAAACGGCTTGCGGCCTGCCGTGGTGCTTGGAGCGGTGGGGTGGTGGGGGGAGGGAGGCTCCGTTGTAGCTTTAGCCGTCGATATGCTAGCAGGGTGGCTAACAACATGGTGGATATTTGTTCCCTCGGATCTCGGTTCTCTTCCTCTCGTCACTGCCTCATGCGTGTCTGTCTGCCGAGGCGTCCCCGGGGGAATGTCGAAGTCTCCGTTGATTCCTCGGTCTCCGCTGTCTCCATGGTCTCTGTTGTCGTCGCGTAGTTGTTGCTGTAGCGGAAGAGATGCTAGTTGTGATGCTAGTTGTGATGCTAGCTCCTCGAGCTTGCAGGAATGGCTTCTTGTTTGCACCGGGCCCGGATTCAGATGGATGTCTCCCGCTAACAATAAGACCAAGACGATCATACTTCTTCGGTCTAGTTTGCCTGACGGGGGTAAGTACTTTCGCGTCGGGTTTGCAGTTAATAATGCATGAATGCTTGCACTTCCAAAAGCGAGGTGTTTCCTTTCCCAGCCGTTGAGAAGGTAAAAGTCATTGTGGTTCATTTTATCCCTGCTTTCACTACTCTCCTTCTCTAAGTGATGTTGCCTCATTGATGAGTTGAGGTAGGAGTCCATAATCCATATTGTCAGGAGGATGAAATATGTAAAAAATCGTGAGGAATAACCTCCAAAGCGGGAGCTCTCGAAAATGCGACCACTCATAGCGAAACCGGAAGCTTCCTTGCGGTAGTCATCGTTGGCCACTGAATCCGCCGTTTGTAGTCCTGAGTTTCTTTATTTTTAGCCGGTGGGGCTGTGCACAATTCCCAGGTCGAGTGAAAGCTACCGAACTGGCTTCAGTAGCATTCCCTGGGTCGCCTCCTCGGCGTAGATCTCCAGAAGCGCCGACACCTCCTCATCATTTCTTGATGCTTGCCATAACTGCTTTCAAAAACAAACACAACGCACGGAGCGTTGTGTTTTTGTAGCGAGGAAAAACAATGGCGTCTCCACACAACATTTTCAGAGTTGTACGGGCGTGGTTTGCAATTCGCCCAGCCAATCAGCACTGGGGCACTTTTGGAGCACTTTTCACCCACAGAAAAGTACGCTCTCTGAGCTGGCTCTAAAAATGGGGGTAAAAGTACCCGAGATTAAGTACAATTGTTGGTGTGAACGCGACATAAGGGGTACTAACGGAACTAAAATGCGAAAAGTACGGTGAAAGTACTCCGGTGTGAACGCGGCAATGAAGAGTGTGCAATTACTGCAATATAAGTACTGGCCACTTTCCTCCTTCTCTCCTCCCTCACAACTCTACTCCTCCTACTTTGAATTACTGTGGAGGAATGTGAGCATGTCCACGTGTTCTTTGGTGAGGCTTGCTCTTTTTTTGCTCACAATGTTCCCTGCTGCTGAGAACAGACGTTCAGAAGGTGTGGATGTTGCAGGGGCAGCCAGATAAGATCTCGCCACAACAGCCAGGGAGGGGAACTTTGTTTCATTTTCTTTCCACCATTGGAGTGGGTTTTTGTCCTTTGGAATGGCTTTCCCCCCAAAGTACAGAAGCACCTCATTCCTGACAGCATCTTCCCTCTGGTCATGGGCTGGGTCGTCATCTTCCATCTCCTCCTCCTCATCTGACCCAAGCAATGTGTCCAGGACAGACTTTGGCTTCTGTCCTCTTGAGTGATCTCGCTGGCCACTGGGGGAGTCAGGCTCTTCCCTCACTCGTACTCGTCTGGCATCAAGTGCAATGGTCTGAAGTTTGATTTTCACCTTCAGGATGTCGTCTGTGGACAGGAACTTGAGTTTTCGGAATCTCGGATCAAGGGCCGCGGCGAAGATGCACACATTCTTCCCGTCCTCGTCATAAGTAGTCTCAACCTTCCATCTGAAAAATAAAGGATTTAATGTGCACACTTTAAATCAAAGAAATTCAAGGTGCTTCAAGAGAAAGATAACAGTATAATCCATAGCTCTACATGATAGAATCACAATGGGAAAACATTGATGCAAACTGGGAAAGTTTAATTCAAATATTCAGTTAGTTCACTATAAGAGATTTAAAGAGCTGAATATTTAAACTAACCTTGAAGCAATCTCTGCTGCGGCTGCAGTTTGGAAGGTGGCAATTGGAGCAGACTCAAAGGCTTTCTGCGTGGACTTCTGTAGGCCTTTCACCAGCGGAGGCAGGACAGAGACTGTGACATATGCCTCTCCACTCAGGAAGACGGTGGCTTGCTCGAAGGGCTCAAGTGCTTGATGTAGGTCCCCCAGGATGCTCCATTGGTCAGCTCTCATATCCAGGTAGTGTTTTGCTGCCTTGGTGACCTCTGGGTCTGAGAGGGTTGCGGTTACAGGCCACCGCTGCTCAAGGAGGCGTTTGATCATGTAAAAAGAGCTATTCCATCTGATGGGTACATCCTGTGACAACTTGTGATGCGGTGTGCCCATTTGCTCTTGTTTGAGTTTCAGCTTCAGGGTGGCGACCTTGCTGCTGTGGAAGTATGTGACGAGGCTCCTTGCTGCCCCAAGTGCCTTGTTGATTCGGGGCTCTTTCAGTGCATGGTTGACAATCAACTGGGTGGTATGGCCAGCACATCGAAGTGAGGCAACACCATGCTTCTCCTCAAGGATTCTAAGGGCTTTCACAACGTTCGCTGCATTATCGTGGACAATTGCCTGGACATCATCATGGAGAGAAAAGTCAAACTTCTCAGCGACTTCCTCAATCCAGAGAGCGATGTTGTCACCAGTGTGTCTGTCCTCAAGGGGCTTTGTGCAAAGAACAAATGAGACCAAATGAGACCAAATGAGACCATCTCCCAGTTTTCATTAATGTAGTGGCAAGTCACTCCGTGACAATACTTGTCCAGGCATCGGTGGTGAGCGTTATCTTTGAGGACCTCTTCTTTAAGTTTCCCTTCAGATCGTCAAGAACACGTTGGTATGCTTTCTCCAGCTGCTTGTTAAACCACCACCTGGAGGGACATTTGAAGCCTGGGCAGGCATATTCAATCATATCTATGAAGGCTTCACCCTCAACGAGAGACAAAGGCCTCATGTCTTTGACGATCACCTGTAAGATAAAACAAATATATTATTATTATTATTATTATTGTTATTATTATTATTAATAACAACACAGCACCTTTCATAGAGCCATGTTGCTTACAGTGTAAGAAGCTTAATTATTACACAATCCAAACAAGGACACAAATAAAAAGGCCAAGTGAAGAAACACCTATAAACTAGCTACAGTAATAAATCAAGACACAATAAATGGGATCAGGACAGCCATTCCCTCCTAAAAGATGCTCAAAGGAAGCAAATAATTACTTACTCTCAAGATTCTTTTGCTGAGTTCGGCTGCCTTCTGTGGAGTGCATTGCGCCTCTTTCCCAAGATAGGACAGCAAGGTTCTTTGCTTTGTCCTAGAAAACACAACAGCAATGAACAATGGAACAACAGCTATGACAGTGGGGCATATTAAATCTACTCTTAAACTCATTGCAGTGCTATGGTATAATTAGCTTACTTGAAGGCTAACGTGGTTACTTTTTAAACAATGTTAAGTCCAACAATGCATTTCATGTTTATCTAAAAGCTTGTAGAGTACTATATCTACACAGTGAAAATGTTTGGTAGTGCAACTCATATGAGCCCTATCACACTTGGATGTGCTGGTGCTCATTTTAATGTTTTCAATGCTCATAAAAACATTAATTAATTCATGACAACTGCGCACCAGCTTACGTGCAGCCCTGGCCTGGACATTGCTTGGCTCCGTTAGTTGACACACATTGATACTATAAGCTGACTAACGTTAGTCTAATGTTATGTTTGACTCGTAAACGACCACAACATGAGTTAGCTCTCTGTGCAGTTTGTTCGTTCCGGGTTAGTAGCGGCTAGATAGCGGTGTTCTGCAGACGTAAACTAGCTACCATTCCAGCCAACATTAAATGCTGACAAACGTTAACTAACACACAGCTGGCGCCGCTAGCTAGGTAGCTAACATTAACTACTAACCAACCAAGCACGAACAAACCGCACGGAGAGCTATAAGATAGTTAGCACTACCGAAGTGCACAGAACTCAAGCTGCACAACACACTACACAAACGTGGAATTAATTTAGCCAAAGTTAGTACTTACTTATCATTGTTCCCTCCACGAGAGACAAGGGGGTGCCTCCGCTTTAAATGCTCCAACATCGCTGTTGTGCTAGTGTGGTATGCCAACTCCATTTGGCAAAGACTGCAAATAACAATGCCTTTGCGTTTTGGACTAAATTTAAAGTATTCCCATGCTTTTGAAGACCTAGGGCGAGATGTTTTTTTTGGGGGCTTTTTGCAGGGCTTCGTGCGCAATCCTGTGAGGAGGAGGTGGTAGCCGTTTCAGTCTCCATAGTGTTTAAAGTGCGATTGCGAACTGCTTGTTGTTGTTTTGGGTGACCCACGTGTGTGTGGCGATGCGTCGACGAGGAAATATGTCGTCGACGATATTTTGAAGTCGACGCGTCGCTACAGCACTAGGCTGCAGGCTTTCATAGTGTGGCTGATGAGCAGGTTGCAGGTGTGGTTGATTGGAGATTGCTCCCAGCCGTGTAGAGCAGACCAGCAGGCAGGGTACATACAAACACTAACAGGGGTTTCAGGGACGGGCAGTGACAGTCGGTCCGTTCTTCTATATGTCTGTCGGTCTCAAATCTAAAGGGTGCAATAACGATTTTTATCCAATATGCATAAACAGTGGACACTGTTTATACGCAGCCCTCACAAACCACACACGGCCAGATAGCTTATCTAACAGTTAGAACCTACATACGAGACACAACCTTTATAGTCAGAAAAAAGTGTGATTATTTTTCTGATATTTTACACATATGATATTATGAATACTGTGGGCCTCAGGGGCGTCGCCTGGACCTGAAAACATTCGGGGCTTAGCCCACAGTGGCATTTTTCACTGCAACACTCCCCACACGCACACACACACAGTACACCCGCGACTGTTACAATAGGTGCGTTCACACCGGAGTACTTTGGTGTACTTTTCCCACAATAGTTCATCAGAACTACGATATATTTGCGTTCACACCAAAAAGCCCCAGGAACTAAAGTAGCTCAACTTAGTTCGCGAGACTCGCTTTTCAGTCCCTGCTACAGAGCAGGGTCTGTCGTGGGAGAAAGTAGTTCCTACGTCTGATTGGCTGTGCGGAATGCAAACCACGCCCGTTTGACTCCGAATTTTTTGTTGTAAGCGGCCATTGTATTTTCTCGCTTCGCAGCACACACGAAGAGATTCCTTTTGTGAAAGCAGTTATTATAGCAACACTAAATAAATCAATTGGAGCGGTGGAGTGATGAGGATGAGGATGTGTCTGCGCTTCTGGCGATTGACTCGGAGGACGCGAAGCGCCACATTCCGAAGCTTCTACTGCATGCAGTTTCTGTGGCTCTGCAAAGTTAGCAGACCTGGCAAAGTCATGTCGGGACGACTACCAAGGTAAAATAAAATACATGCACTGCACTGTTTTAATCTGCACAATACTGGTCTTAGATGTACTTTTATTTGCTCAGTAGATCGAGCTAGCCATGGTAGAACTTGCTAACGTTAGGTCCAAGCTGGCTAATAACATCTAGCTAGCTAGCTATTCTCATCCATGCCCGCTATGAACACGTTTTGACTTGTGAATAAGTGCAATGTTCTGTAATTTGCTTCACTAACTCATGGCACTAATCGTGTGTTTCAGGCGAGGTGTTTCTCTCAGGATTAGAAACTAGTTTTCCCCTCCGGGATAAAACGATAATATATCGTTAGCAATTAGCATGCTAGCTGGACATAATGCTACCTCTGTGGCTAATGCATAGAGGTAAACAACAGATTGTAGTTGCTATAATTTCAAGTAATTTGCAACATTCATTCTACATGTTAATGATAAAAGCTTAAACAGTTGATTACCTGCATGCCACAAAGACTGATGTTCTAATATTTTTGCACATTTAAGTAGAAATGTAATTGAAATTCTATTTACTGTCTAAACATTGTTCCTTCTCATAGTATTATCCTAAATAGTTTGACCTTGTTTCCTCAGAAGGCTTCTCAGACTACATGGAGGATCCCTCAGAGAAACACAGTTTCCACATTCAGTTCCCCCCCGCTGAGAGTAGGCAGCCTGCGCCCGGTCAGCGGACACCATCAGGACCACTATCTGATCACAGAGGATCCCATCCTGACCGCTGCTGCCATACTGCAGCAAACAGGAGGGAACGGAGGTGAAAACACACTTTATACATTTAGATATGTGGAGCACAAAGAAAAGTGTTGAGTTTAACTATAAAAATATTAGTTTCAACTAACCTAATACCGTTATATGAACTTTGCTGTGTTTTCAGCGTAGCTTTGTAAAGGTAACATTTAGCAGCTAAACTGTGGATAACCACATTGGTTTGTTATTCAATATGGCCACCAAAAGCTTTTTGAATCATTACATGTCACTTGTTAGATGCTTTTATCCAAAGCTTACCTACTCAATACTGTGGGCAATCCCCACAGGAGCACTTTGGGGTGAAGTGTCTCGGGGACACAACGACATGCTACACCCTACCCCTACACACTACCCCTCCGTTTGCGCGTTCGCGCGGAGGGTCCGCCACATTAAGTGCTGTTCCAAACCAACGAGTGTGGAGGGGGAGTGGGCTATCAAGCCCTCAAACAGCGAGTCTGCATCGGTGCTGACTTGAGACCGGTCTCTACCTGACCGGAGTCACGCTGTGTGTGTCCGTCAGGAAACACGCTGTTAAAAAGTAGTTCCAGCAAACATCCACTGATAAATTGCGATGTTAACAACCTCATGATAACCTCATATTTTTTTAACTTAGGATCATACCTGTGTTTAGTCTAGAAAAAGGTAAATGTGTGCATTTTATTATAAAGTTGTGTATATTTACAGACTGTTGCAAAAACTAAGAAACTTATAAACATCAGGTTTAAAACTAAAAGAGCTTTACAGAAAAAGTAACACAATGAAAGATGTTTGGAGTTTTATTTGAGTTATTAATTTACATTTTTTGTCTAAGAGAAGCTGATTTGAAACCGTTGTTACATACAGTTACGGCATTTCCTGTTTCTGCCGGAGAGAGGGGAGTTTGTCCCAAAGCTTGCCGCTGTATTTACTCCCTCCATCTGACAGGAGGGAGCCTCGTTGAGCTGCGAGTGTGGCTACAGACGGAGTTCACTCCGTCACGGAGGGGTAGGGTCGAGGGAGTGGTTTGGGATTGGGCCTCAGAGGTGGAGATCGCCCACAGTGATGACTCTGACGTGGGGGGCTCTCTGTTATGGGCTGCTCCCCTTCTGGTATTTGGACAATGTTGTGTCGTTGTTGCGATTAAACTGATCTTGTATCTTGCATATTTCACCTTAGGAAAGTGGGCACGCGATGACAGCTTCCTTGACACCATCATGGCGATGGACTGCCGTGCCATGGTCAGCAAGGAGAATGAGGACCTGCGTGCCAAGGAGATGCACGACGAACGGCTGCTGCATTCACACAAGGCCCAGGAATCGGACGACCAGCTGCTCATGGTCCAGGTGGAGCAACAAAATACCTTTCAGGCTGGGCTTCTGGCAGTGCTAAGCGAGCTGATTAAATCCAACAGGCCTTCAATACAAAAATTAAGAAAAACTTGTCGTCGTTGATAAACTGTACAATGACTTGTTGGGAGGCGTGTGGTGCAGTGGTCTGGTGCGTTGGTGTTCGGATCAGGGGAGCACAGGTTCAAACCCCACTGCAGTCAGGATGTCGTTGTGTCCCTGGGCAAGACACTTCACCCCAAATTGCCTACACCTGGGACAGTTCATTTTGTATTATTGTGATTATATATATATGCCACTGTTATTAATACTGACACTTCACTTTGCACTAAGGTGTGTCTGCTGCTGAGCCTACCTATTGTTATTATATATATATATATATATATATATATATATATATATATATATATATATCAGTATAATATAATATATATAATATATAATAACAGTGGCAATATATATATATATATATATTTATTGCCACTGTTATTATATTGTTTTGATACTACTGACACTTGATCTGCTGCTGATAAATAAAAGAGAACCTACATTGCGATTAAACAGAAAATGTATCTTGTTTATTTCTCCTGACACTTTATCTTTATGGTGACCTGTGTAGCATCCTATACATCACATGTAAGTGATTATTCTGATACCATCATGACACCATGAAACTGGCGAAGCTTTATTTATTGTGTCCCACCCCATATATGTGTCTTTGAAAAAGATCATTCAATTGTATTTCAAAATGGCGTCCATCAACACAAACACTATTTATAGAAAGATAAATGGTTAAGTTTGTAATTAACAGTGTTGAGTTCAATATTTTAATTAATTATAGTAAGGGAACATAGGAGGATATATAATAAAGGTGTTAACTGCTGAGCCTATTTACTGTGCAATACTACAGACATGTTAGTGGTATTATTTCTTATCTAACTCTTTCCTATGGTCAGACAAATCAGAAGTCATTTAAACAATTTGAGATTGTTCTTTTTGTTTCTCAATTGATTTTCCAGAATATGCACCACCTAGGCAGACTTTATATCACAAATAAATGAATGACATGTACTACAGTAATTGATTATATTGATATTGCCTACTCAGATATAAATGTGTATAAAATGAAATCAATTCAAAGTTTCTTGCTGCTTTTAATGCAATTCATGGCTGCAGGGCAAACGTCCAAAATCCTTATTCTACAATCATTTAATCAAGACACTTGTGTATATTTTACTTTCATTTGTAATAAACAAAAAAATATGAATGGTTGTCATCAAGCTGGGTCGCCGGTAAGGCAGTCCATTCCTCCCTGTACTCATCACCACGACGCTCACACAGGTTATGCAATACGCAACATGCTGCCACCTGGATTTTGATATTGTCCATGTTGCAGTCGTTTCGCTTCAAGCACCGCATATCTGGAACACATACAAAGACACAAATTAGCCCGACATAACTCCATAAATCCTACATTAGATAGTATTAATGTGATTTACTGAACGTACCATTGCTGTTCTTTGGGCGTGATCATCCTCAGCTGACGAAACATGTCCATAGCGTGTGCTTGTCGCCGTCCAGTCCTTTTGTTAAGGCTTCTTAACCGCGATCTGTATTTGTGGCTGAGTTATTGGCTTAAATAACTCTGCCCCAAAACCACAACTTCAGTCAACTCCATAGCGTGTCTGACTGAGGTCGGAAGGTAAACAGAAGCATACAGCGGAAGCGGAAGTTTTTTTTCTTC